ATGTGGAAAGTACACATTTGATACTATACTATTAATTGACATTGATACTACACTATTAACAGACCTTATAATAAATTCTCCAAATTTCCCACTAGTGTCTTCTTCTGCTCTAGAATTCCACCCAGCATCCCAGATTGCTTTTGGGATGCCATTCTCCTTTGTTTCCTCCTGTCTTTAACAATTTCCCATCTTCCTTTTGTTAGGGGGAAAAGGATGTCCTAAAGCTAATCCCATACAGGCTTTGTGGACTCCACCCCCACCCCAGGCCAAAGCCAAAGACACTGGGAACTCCAAATCCCATCCCCTCCAAAGGGAAGGTGGCAGGGACCTGAGGGTGGGGTTAAGCAGCCAAGTGAGTATAAAGGCAGACACGTGGGCTTTGGGTGGGGGGGTCCCCCATTTTGGCTCTCCGCCAGCTCGCAGCGTCCGGCCAGCTCTGAGAGTGCCTTTGGGTTTCCAGGTTGGCGGATCGGGTAGGACACATTAAAGACTTTATTTCCCTATTTTCTCCCTGAGTTGTACATTTCCTTATTTCCTTTTCCCTTGTAAATAAACCTTTTATTAACCTTTTGTGTGTGCCTGTAGTGGACTATAAATAAGTCCCTTTTAAGAGCGCAGGTGAGGACCCACAGCCAGGCAACCCGTTCAATATCGGGGCTGTCCTATAACACTTTGTCTTTCCTGATTTTGATTGTCATTCTCCTATGTTTTCCCCTGTCTTTAACAATTTCCCATCTTCCTTTGTCTTTCCTGATTTTGATACTTTAGCCCCTCAATTTGAGCCCATGTAGATCCCTTGAGTCTCTTGTTAGAATACAGATTCTGACTCTGAAGTTCTGGGATGGGACCTGAGATACTGCACGGATAACAAGCTCCCAAAGGAAGCAGCAAGTATAAGAATCACATTTTGAACAACAAAACTGGGACAATCTTAGGGTCCTGAGGCTTGTCTTTGTATTGAAGGATCTTGGGTGATGTTAGAGAAAGATACGGGAACTTATCTGAATTCAATTCAGCAACTACTCTGAGCAGTTACTAGGTGCAAGATGTTGTGTCAACCTTTAGAGCAGCCCCAGGTGGGCCAACCAGTCACAGCTTCTCTAGGAGGGGGAGGCTCTGCAACACAAGTGCCTGTCCAAACTGCCAGGCCTTCTTTTGTCTGGGGAGAATCAATTATATCCCCCTTCAGATAAAAAGGATGATGTTTGCCCATCAGTCAAGCAGGGCTGCTAGGAAGACAACTTTTTCATCACAGCTTAAGAAAAACTAGATTAGTTTTTGAAAAGAGTGGGAGGCAGCTGAGAGTTATTTGTTGATGTCAGTGACCTTGGTAATTCTAAATGAGATTTTCTTTCACTTCTTGCCCTTGTGTCTGGTTCCTTCTGTGGAGGCATTATTCTCCCTCGCTTGCCTGCTAGGACACCAGCTCACTATGGGCAGCCAAAATCAAGTGTGCCCCCTTGTAATTTTAATATACCCTTTTCTCCCCCAAGCAATCAAAACTCCTTTAGGAACAAGAGCAAGGAAGAGTTTCTAGTGATTCATAAAAATAAATAACCTATTAGTCACATGGCTCTTTCCAAAGCTCCAGGAAAACAATCTGTGATGGAAATGAGGTACGAATCATTGCTGAGAATTATAAAATGGTAATTAGTAATTAGTAATTAGTAAAGTAATTAGTCAACTGCAAGGGAGAAAAATGTGTCTCTTTAGCCAAAGAACTATTTCAGAGGGACTCTGGAGACTGGATGGAGTGCCCTTTTGTAGGAGTTCTCTAGCTAAAGATTAGTGCCACATCTCTCGGGCTATGTTGACAATTTCATCAAAGGTGATCTTTCCACTGTACTTAATATTTTTCTCTTCTTTTCTGTCTCTTGGCTGTTCCTTGAGGGCTTTGATGATAAGGACAGAGATGAAAGGTACCACTTCAATTAGGGCCTGTGAGTTCTGAATGGTCAATGTCAATACAATCCACAGACCTTTCTAATATTGGTTGAGTTGGCAACCAACTTTTCTGGGAGACAGACCAGGCCAAGGCAGACATGGCACCGACTTTCCTACATATTCCCTCAGGGGTACAACTTTGAGCTTGTTGGGGTCAAATTTGGTGGCATGGTGGAGGTAGCTGGTGTCTAATGAATACACCCAAGAAGGGTGTACCTTGGTCTCCCCCAAGCTGAAAGTCAAAATATATAACTTTACTGTTTTTAAGGAAGACATGAAAATATACTCATGGAGATCCTAAGAAACAAAAGCTAATAAAGAGTTAGAAAATATAATATAAGCCAATTGATTCCACCCTGAAGAATATATTAGGATCACCTAGAGGGTTTTGAAAACATTATGAATATCTGAGTTGTACCTCCTGAGATTCTGCTTTAACACATATTTGGGCAATCAATGAAAATACCCTTAAAATATGTGTGAAACGAAAACATTTCAGAGAAAAGTTATCTCCAGAAGACCTGCATGAGAACTGTTAAGGGAAAGTGTTTCAGGCTGATATAAAGTAGCATCAAATAGAAACTGGTCTCTAGAGGAAGGAAGGGAGAAAACCTGAAATGGAAATTATGTAGGTAAATGTAAAAGACTATTTTTTTCTTGTTTCAATTTCTTTAAAAGACAACTCAGAATTTAAAGCAAAAGAAATTAATTGTAATTGTGAGGTTTATTTTATATCTATGTAAAATACAGATAGAATTACAACAGCACAAAACACAAAGACTAGATGATTGAAAGGATCTTCCCTCCAGTTTTAAGGTTGTAACATTTATATGATGTAACTGAATTGATTCAAATGAAGGCTGAAAATTATGATCCCTAGAGCAAACACTAAAAATGATATATCTAAAAATCAACAGAGGAATTAAAATGAAATACTGAAAACATGTAATTAACCTAAGGAAGGAAAGGCATATCAGTGGAACAGAAAGCAGACAGTGAAACAGGATGGTGCACTTAAAATGAATCCTACTAATAATTGCATTAAAAGTAGGTAGCTAGTTATTTCAATTAAGAGAAGATATTTTCACACTACATGAAAAATAAGATCAAACTGTATGCTGTGAGGTAAAGATGCACTTTAGAGAGATTGAATATAAAGTGATGGGAAAAAATGCCATGAAAATGGTAAACATAGAGGGTGATATGGCAATTAAAATAATACAGAGTAGATCTGAAGGTAAGGAGTATTATAAAAAAAATGAAGAGACATTTCATAGTGATGAAAAAGTAATTTATGAGAAAGACCTACCAATTGTTAAACTTTATACACATATAAAGAGAACTTCAAAATGCATGAAGCAAAAATTATGAAATAAAACAATCTAATACTTAATCATCAGACAAAAGGCAATTGCTTGGGCAAAAATCATTAGGACATAGACATTTATAGTCTACTCATTCGCAGTTACAGAACATTATACTCAGTACCTCCGAAATACATATTCTGTCATGTACACATGGAATTTTCACCAAAAGGACCATAAAATAAGTCCAGCTTTATTTCAAAAGATGACTATTTAACAGTGTGTGCTTGCTGATCACAGTGGAATGAAACTTCAAATCAATACCTAAAAGATATCTAGGAAATCACTAAATGTTTGGAGACTAACCAGTGCATTTCTAAATAGCACATGTATCAAAAAAGTAACCACAAGAACATTAGAAAATATTTTGAACTGAATTATGATGTTGCAGCAATCAAAATGCAATGCAGTGTTTAGAGGAAAATGTATAGTATTAAGTGTTTATATTAGAAAAAATACTAAATACTAAAATAGATGCTAGATGCTAAAATAGAATATGCAATGCAAAGAAAGTACAAATAAGTACAAAATAAAGTGGTAATTAATAGGAAAAGATAAAGAAAGTTAACAAGACTGAAGTTTTCTTTTTGAAGTTAAATAAAATTGACAAGCTACTGATAAGACTGCATATATAGTCAGAGAGAGCTTGAGAGTACACAAATCATTGCTAGTGTGTGGCTGAGGGGTGCACACTCTAAAAGGGATTTAGCCATCCACGTGCACAAAGATAAAGGAAGTAGACGCCTAGTGTGATATTACTTGTAATACATATATATTTTATTCTCTTTTATTTCTCATGTGATATATTTTTAATGGAATTGGTGTGCACAAAGAAAGGGAGAACAGAGAATTTCAAATAACAGATTCCCAATAAGATGTCCCAAATCCCCCATATCCTTGTAGGCAAATGCCTGGCCAAATAGGTTTGGACTAAAGTGGGGTCAATAAGGCCTGAAATCTTGCCACAAGTCTAAGGTAACTTCTGGCAAGGAATCGCAAGAAAGGAGTCAAGTCCTAGAACACTGGGACAAGAGAGACTCAAAATTCAAAACATACCACACAAATGCAACCTGAGATCAAGGTAATAGCTGCTATTGTCTCTGTCAAGGACAAAGAGTAAACTCCCCATGTGTTTGTCACCCATTTGTCTCTTCCAAGTGTCTTACATATTTCTTCTTCATGTTTCTCCTTCAAGCTTCCTCTACACATATGTCCCCTCTCTATTTATATATACACTTCACTCCTTACCAGCTGCCTTTTCCTAGGAAAAGGACTTGCAAACTGGGACTTGCAATTCACGGTGCCTGCAAATAAGGGTGGGGGGGTGGTGGGGAAAATGGAGCCAGTTTCATGTTCTTCCCCTTTTCATGGGAAGCAAGGGAGGAAGGAATGTCGAATCACCAAATCCAGAATGTCAGAAATCAAAGAGGAAATTTTGCTTCAGATCGTACAGATATTAAAAGAGTATAAAGAAAATATTATGTATCTCTTAATACCAATAAACATGACAGCTCTAAAAGAACTAGGCAAATGCTATGAGAAACACAAATTGTCAAATATGATCCCAAAATGTAGACAATCTGAATATCCTCTTTCTGTTAAAGAAATGGAGACTTTCTTATAAAGAAAATTTCATTTATAGATGGTTTCACTAGGTAGTGATGTCAAACATTTAAGAAGTGGAATCTACTCGGCGCTATCATGGCGGGTTTGCTGAAGAAGACCACTGGCCTTGTGGGATTGGCTGTAGGTGACACTCCGCATGAGAGGCTAAGAATATTGTACACAAAGATTCTTGATGTTCTTGAGCAAATCCCTAAAAATGCAGCATATAGGAAGTACACAGAACAGATTACCAATGAGAAGCTGGGTATTTTAAAGTGGAAACAGATGTTAAAAAATTAGAGGATCGACTTCAGGGTGGTGAAATAGAAGAGGTGATTCTTCAGGCTGAAAAGGAACTAAGTCTGGCAGGAAAAATGATACAATGGAAACCATGGGAACCTTTAGTGGAAGAGCCTTCTGCCAACCAGTGGAAATGGCCAATATAATGACATGTGTGTTGATGAGAAACTGATGCAATTAAATGTTCTGTTAAATTTAAAATGTTTCCATATTATTGGGAAAAAAAAAAGAAGTGGAATCTATCTTATCCAAACTACTCCAGAAATAAGAGATGGTAACACCATCATAATTCTGTTACCAAAATTTGACCAAGAAGTTATAAGAAAATAAAATTTCAAGTCATCCCTAAAGCAGATCTTTACAAATTATTAGCAAATTAACCTCAGTGAAAAGAATCATAGATCATGATCAAGTACTATCAAAGGAATATAAAATTGGTTTAATAATTGAACATCAATAAAGATCCTGAATAAAGCAAAGTTATCCCTTTCTACCAGTTCTATCCAACATTGTGACGATGCACCAACTTTTGGATGGGTTACGTTTACACTGACTTTAACAAAGAGGGCACAGATAATTCCTATTTAAATCACAATGTATATGCATTAAATGTAGTTTTTGGAAAATTACAGACCAGGTCTTCATACAAATATACAAAATAATTCATGACAAAATAAATTGATAATGATGAATTCAGCCTATTATAATTTAGAATTATAAATCAAGAAGAGCAACAAGTGGAAACTCTAACCAAATGAAGATTGCACTTAGGCACTTAAAGCAGAAAGTTCTTCCAGAAAATTGTGGAAATTGCAAATCTCTATCCATGTACTTTTGTTGCCAAACATTGTGTGGCTGCCAGCCTTCTAGAAGAATGCTGAATGAGTGGTCTCAGTAAATTCCAGCCACATGTTAATTCTGGTTTATGAATTCCAATTTTGGTTTCTATCCATAACTCATTTAGTAGATTACTACTGAGTAGCTCTAATTTGTGGTTGAGTGACTATCTGAGAGATAATCTACAAGTTTGGAGGGAAAGATTTTCATGTTTGGATCTGCTTAAGACTCATTAGGTGGCCCATAAAGAGATTCACTGCAGAAAATATGGCTCTGGGGAAAGAGATGGAGCGGGAAGGGAGAAATGCTGTATCAGAATACCCAGGGGGAATGTGTAGTTTGGAAACAAAACCGTGCTTTTTCACAATGCTTTGATTTATTTTTAGTCACCGTAACTCATTGCTTTTGAATCTAAAATAATGTGTTAAAGGAGGGCATGAGATTACGTTTACCCAAAGGGAAAATGTACTAAAAAGCTGCCAAAGCATTGAGCTTATAAAGTTGGTATAAATGGAGTGATAAGATAGTCCCCAAACTTCTTTACTCAGAGATTCTGTTTGATTGGCATGGATGGCATTAGTTGAGTCTCCAGCTTTAAGTCAATGTCAGAGACACCGGCAGGCTTCCTTATAGGCCCTCCAGTGATTCCCTCTGAGCCTCTCTGTTACGACTTTCCTGTATTACACTCTCTGTTCCAGTTACTTTGGCGTCCTCATTGTTCCTTAAACAGCAACCACACTCCTGCCTTAGGACCTTTGCACTGACTGCCTGGAATGCTCTTCCTTTAGATGTTATCATGGTTCATTCTCTCGCTTAACCTCCAGTCTTTTTTTAAAACGCATTTTCTCATTTTCGTAATGAGGTCTTGTAGGGTCAGGACAGGCACAGTGCAGGTTTTCTGATCCAGCAGACGGTTAAAGAAGAATCTTGGAGCCCTCAGTGGCTTTCTCAGGCTTTTATTGAGCTTTACATGTAGTGTGGCAAACAGGTACACGGCAGGCAGGGGTGCTGGAGGGCCCAGGAGGCCCACCCCCGGGCAAGTCTTCACTCTGGGCTTCTCTGACTTCTCTCTCTCCTTCTTCTCTCCTGCCTCTCTCCTGCTTCTGCTTCTCTCAGTAACTACCTCATTACTCCTCCCATGGCCCACAGAAATAAACAAGATAGTTGCAACCATGTAAGAACTGCAGGTGCCCCATCAGGCAGGGCAATCCTAATGGTGGGAGGGCAGAAAAGCCTGAAAGCCCATTTACCTTACAGGTCTATCATGACCATCTGATTTCATCCTGCAAACTACCCTGCATCCTTCCCCTCTTGCTCCTGAATGCCCTTATCCCATTCTATTATTTTTTGGGGGGATAACACTTTTATCTTCTGCCATACTATGTAATTTATGTAATTATTTGTTTGTGATATCTATTGAGACATGAATCTATTGAATGAGGTTTTGTTTTATTTTTTTAAAGGATGGTTTTATTAGGAAAAGGAGAAAAAGAGAGGAATCTGCATAGTCACAGGAGGGCAGGAGAGCTGCTGCTCCTGTTTTGCAAAGGGAAATTGTTTTTAACAATATATACCTGCGGAGTCACACGTGGGCAGGAGAGCTTGAGTTAGGTTTTGACATTCAGGTTTCTGATATTTGGTAGGTCTATTTCCTCTCTGTTTTATAATCCAAAGAAGAGAAATGTGAACATTTTGGGCCTTTCTGATTGGGCATATGTAACATTTTCTCATATTTAATTTGAACTGTGTAGGGAAAACAGTGGCTCAGGTTTTTTTCTGCCCTCCCGCCCTAGTCTCTATGGCTGGCATCTGTGGTCTTATTTTCCTCTAGGTTGCATTACTTCCACGGTTACCAGGGCCTGAGAGACGTATGCGCAGGGCACACACGCCTGTGATCATGGACACCCGGGCCAGAGAGCTTGGGCATGCACATATGTAAATGCAGGCACCTGGGCCTAGCAGCTGGGGATAAAAGGAGCTTCTCAGCTCTGTGATGGCCGTGTCACTCTGAGGCTAGAGACCTCAGTTACTTGCTCTCTGCCTGCTGGCCTGTTCCCTGATTCAGCGTGAAAGGCATGTTAGAGATACTGAAGGCTCCAAAATTCTCTTTTCATCTGCATGCATCGACAATGAACCTACCCGGCCTGGGACAGTGGCCCAACATACTGCTTAATAAAGTAATGAAATTTGGGCCTCCTGTGGTGGTGTAGCGGTTGAGCACTGGTTTGTGAGGCTGCCCGCAGCCTCCACAGCACCAGTTCGATCCCCGTCGAGGGTCCCACAAAAAAAAAAAAGGTAATAAAATTTTTCAAGACTTGTTCTGTTAGAATTGTTTACACTCAGTTCTGATCTAGTTGGTTCTTAGGCTTGAAAACTCTCTTCTTGGGCCTCCCCTGGTGGTGCAGTGGTTGAGCGCTGTGCTGCCAAGCTGCCGCTGCCTCTGCAGCGCCGGTTCCATCCCCGGCCGCAGGGTGAGGGTCCCACATGGCACGCAGACCTCTCCTGCCGCCTGCTGCTCCCATCAGCAGTGTACTTCGGTCCTTCTGCCTGCTCTGCTCCCTGCTCTGGCTCTGGTGAATTCTCTCACCCTCCCGCGCTTCTGACTGTACCCAGTGCATGTATGAATAAATAAATAAATCTTTAAAAAAAAAAAACAACTCTCTTCATTCTTACCTTTGCTATAGGAGATACTGCGATGTACCCTGTAGGTCCCCCTCAGGGTTGAGACATTAATTCTCCCAGATGCTGGGAGTGTTAGTTTCTGATGGCTCTTTGGGCATTGCTTCATCCCAAAGGAACTATCTTCTCCAAACTTATAACTCTCTCTGGGAATCCCACATTCATTTACAGGTTGAAATGGGGTACAAAGGCCTCACTTCATTGACTTATTTGAAAACAACTCTGAAGGGCCAGAGATGAGGCTTTACTACAGCTGTATCATAGTTTAATTTCTTTCTGTCTACTCACATTTTCTCTACTGTTTTTCAATTGTTCCAGCAATTCTCCCTAGTAAACTTCTTGCACAGAAATCTCCATCTCAGAGTCTGTTTCTCAAGTCACTCAAAGACAGGACTAGAGTGGCATTTTGGAGCTGTATTGCCCTCCCTGGGTGGCCAGCAGTGAGCCCATCGTCGGTGCATGAGGAGTTTGGAGAGCTCTTGATGGACTGTAGCTGGAGAGTTGTTTAAACTGTTGCTTATGGTGAAGTGGGATAGGACTTAGGGATGCTGATAGAAGGGAATGCCCTGGGTGCATTCAGGTATTGGATAGGTTCTGGGAAAGTAGTGATTATAAGGACAACAGAATTGGATAACTTATTGGAGAGAGAGAATCAAAGGTTGAATGTAGCTAATTACTAATTTAAGGTGATATCTTAAAGGTATAAGGAATACATGGCTAGTTGTTACTTTTATTGCTACCCATTTATTAATAGTTCACTAGTTTTCCTCCTATAAAGCCACATGAATGAATAAGAGCCATAAGAGCAAATTCCTACCAGTTCAACTAAATAGAAATTCTAAATGCCATTGCCATACTAATATTATTACTAGAACAGATTAATAAGGCCTCTCTGGTTCATGTTATGTGGCTATTGATATGCCAAATCTGTTGTCTTTTATTCCTATCAGGAAAGAGTACTAGACGCTCTTGCACTCAATTGGAACAAACAAGAGTGTACATTTATAGTCTTTCTTATGTCCATTCTTAATAGAGTTCAAATGGTACCAGACCATCTAGATGTCCTGTAAAACATTGTATAGGTCTAGCATACTGGTGGCATTATGCTCATTGAACTGATGATCAAGAAGTGGCAAGTATCAGGAGGTCTTGGTATGACACATGCACTCCAGAGGGTAAAAGAGAAACCCAGAAGTTCACCTTGTCAGTGAAGATTTTGTGGCCTGACACCTGTTGGGATATTCCTTTAAAATAAAGGACAAATTAATTTCCTGATGTACCCTCCACAAATAAGAATTAAATGCCTGGTTGATCTTCTGGGTTTATGGAGACAGCTTGCTACTTTCTTGAACATTATGCTCTGATCCATTCAATGCATTGGGTCCAGAGCTAGAAAGGCTTTGTATCAGGTCCAGGCTGGGCAATAGATTAGGGAAGGAAGATCTTGCCCAATTTTAGTAGTAAGGGAATAAAAGAAGTTCCCATTGACTTAGAAGACATGGTGATCAGGAACTCAGAATCCCTTAAGGATTAATTTCTGATTCACTCTACCACAAAAGACTCTAGAACAGCAGAAGTGCTAGTCTATAGTGAGGGAAGTGGAGATGGGTAGTAGAGGAAGGAAATGATGGCTATCAGATGTGGTCTGAGAGCACCTGTAATGGCTGGACTATGGTTTACCCTATTAACACTCA